ATTCTGTGTTTCCCATGCTCACTTGCTAACTTTGTTTTTACTGTAGTAACAGGAGATCAACCCTCCTGACTATTACCTGAGAGGGCAGAGTTGCCCTCCTGACTGTTACCTGTGGGGGCAGTGTTGTCCCCTGACTGTTACCTGTGGGGGCAGTGTTGTCCTCTCGACTGTTACCTGTGGGAGCAGTGTTGTCCTCCCAACTGTTACCTGTGGGGGCAGTGTTATCCCCCGACTGTTACCTGTGAGGGCAGTGTTATCCCCCCACTGTTACCTGTGAGGGCGGTGTTATCCCCCGACTGTTACCTGTGGGGGTGGTGTTATCCCCCGACTGTTACCTGTGGGGGCGGTGTTATCCCCCGACTGTTACCTGTGGGGGCAGTGTTATCCCCCGACTGTTACCTGTGAGGGCAGTGTTGTCCTCCTGATTGTTACCTGTGGGGGTGGTGTTGTCCTCCAGACTGTTACTTGTGGGGGCAGTGTTGTCCCTCGACTGTTACCTGTGGGAGCAGTGTTATCCCCCGACTGTTACCTGTGAGGGCAGTGTTATCCCCCGACTGTTACCTGTGAGGGCAGTGTTGTCCTCCTGACTGTTACCTGTGGGGGTGGTGTTGTCCTCCAGACTGTTACTTGTGGGGGCAGTGTTGTCCCCTGACTGTTACCTATAGGGGCAGTGTTGTCCTCCTGACTGTTACCTGTGGGGGCAGAGTTGCCCTCCTGACTGTTACCTGTGGGAGCAGTGTTGTCCCCTGACTGTTACCTGTGGGGACAGAGTGGTCCTCCCGACTGTTACCTGTGGGGACAGAGTGGTCCTCCAGACTATTACCTGTGGGAGCAGTGTTGTCCTCCCGACTGTTACCTGTGGAGACACTGTTATCCCCCTACTGTTACCTGTGGGGGCAATGTTGTCCGACCGACTGTTACCTATAGGGGCAGTGTTGTCCTCCTGACTATTACCTGTGTGGGCAGAGTTGCCCTCAGACTGTTACCTGTGTGGGCAGAGTTGCCCTCCGACTGTTACCTGTGGGGACAGTGTTGTCCCCCGACTGTTACCTGTGGGGACAGTGTTGTCTCCCAACTGTTACCTGTGGGGGCAGAGTTGCCCTTCCGTCTGTTACCTGTGGGGGCAGTGTTGTCCTCTCGACTATTACCTGTAGGAGCAGTGTTGTCCCCTGAGTGTTACTTGTGGGAGCAGGGTTGTCCTCTCAACTGTTACCTGTGGGGGCAGTGTTGTCCCCTGACTATTACCTGTGGAGGCAGAGTTGCCCTCCGACTGTTACCTGTGGGGGCAGTGTTGTCCTCCTGACTATTACCTGTGGGGGCAGTGTTATCCCCCGACTGTTACCTGTGGGGACAGTGTTGTCCCCCGACTGTTACCTGTGGGGGCAGAGTTGCCCTCCCGTCTGTTACCTGTGGGGGCAGTGTTGTCCTCTCGACTATTACCTGTAGGAGCAGTGTTGTCCCCTGAGTGTTACTTGTGGGAGCAGAGTTGTCCTCTCAACTGTTACCTGTGGGGGCAGTGTTGTCCCCTGACTATTACCTGTGGAGGCAGAGTTGCCCTCTGACTGTTACCTGTGGGGGCAGTGTTGTCCTCCTGACTATTACCTGTGGGGGCAGAGTTGCCCTCCTGACTGTTACCTGTGGGAGCAGAGTTGTCCCTCGACTGTTACCTGTGGGGGCAGAGTGGTCCTCCTGACTGTTACCTGTGAGGGCAGTGTTGTCCCCCAACTATTACCTGTGGGAGCAGTGTTGTCCTCTCGACTGTTACCTGTGGGGGCAGTGTTGTCCTACCGACTGTTACCTATAGGGGCAGTGTTGCCCTCCTGACTGTTACCTGTGGGAGCAGTGTTGTCCCCTGACTATTACCTGTGGGGGCAGAGTTGCCCTCTCGACTGTTACCTGTGGGGGCAGAGTTGCCCTCCTGACTGTTACCTGTGGGAGCAGAGTTGTCCCTCGACTGTTACCTGTGGGGGCAGAGTGGTCCTCCCGACTGTTACCTGTGAGGGCAGTGTTGTCCCCCAACTATTACCTGTGGGAGCAGTGTTGTCCTCCTGACTGTTACCTGAGGGGGCAGTGTTGTCCCCCAACTGTTACTTGTGGAGGCAGTGTTGTCCTCCTGACTGTTACCTGTG